CACCATAGTTGTTACATATGGCAGTCAGGTTGGCAACCGTCGCTTTTTCTTATTTTATGTTGTTATAAAGATGCTGTTGCTCATGCCCTGTTTTATTTTATCTTTGTCGTCTTTTACGACACCCACTTGACGATGGTGGTAGTGGATATTCTTACATCGCCACTACGCGATTTAAGAACATCCAATACCCCATATCCAGCGTCATTAAGGCTGAGAATTTAAAATTATTCAACGTAATACGCGACAAAAACACTGATTCACATGATATAAACCTATAATCTCGATGTAAAAAAAATACTAAAAATACTAATATTTAATGTTTATATAGCAGGGATGGTAGATATGATAAGGATATATACTGACGAGTGAACGCAGGAAATAGAGTGAATGGGGCTCTACCCGCTATTATGAATAGTCAGAATATGTCAAATAAGGCACGTATGGTAATTAATAATGCTGTCTTAGTCCCTACTTTAATATATGGTAGTGAAAGTTGGGTCTGTTGTGCCAGTATACTAAGGCTGAACCTGAATGACATGGTGAGAAATAGTGTGATAAGAGAAAAGTGTGGTTTGCAAGATGACGTTGTGACCAGGATTAAGAAAGGAATGCATTGGTGGTTTGGTCATCTAGAAAGAATGAATGAGGAAAGAGTGACAGAGTAAATTTATGTTGCAGAAGTGAACGGCACAGGGAAGGGCGTCCCTTCCCGACTCTGCCGAAGGTTTGTCGCCAAATCGGCGATATATTGAAAATGGGCCAGGTTAGGAGTACCCTTAACCGACGAGCGTGTATGCGTAGATATATGGATGTAAAGGGGTGCGAGAGAGGTGTGTCAGGATCGCGCCAAATGGAAGTCCGTAGTCTCTGCCTACCCCTCTGGGTGACAGGCGTGAGTGTTTGTGTGTTTGTGCGTGATAAAATACCTTCTGACTTTGTTTATTTATCAGTTCTGTTTATTTTTATTCAACAAAAGCTAGTCAAATCATCTTATTTATTTTTATTAAAAAAAAGGAAGGATCTATAGCTCCTGTCACTGAGTTTAAGCTTTTACAGGAGCTAGGGTCAAAAAATTCAAAGAATATAAAACTGATCAAATCATTGCGTTAGAAAAGCGAAGGGAACATTGTAAGCAAATATCATAAAATTATTTCAATTTAATTGATACTCTTTATCTTTTTAAGCAAGTTCTTTCTTCAATGTTGTAGAGCCAGTTTTAAACCGTAACAAATCTTTTTCTATTCAGTTATCTAGAACAAATTATTATAAAAATTGCTTTGTAGCAACTTTACGTAAAATATAACGCGTAATATGATATCGTTGACGTATTTAAAATAATTTAAGATGGGTTTACATCTGCCATTATAAAAATTAGATATTGAAGTCATTCTGTAAGTTGAAATTAATCTAGGTATTGTATAATCCGCAAAGAATGTGTGCCTGCTAGTTAGTCTAGTTGTCGAAAACGAGAATGCCGATAATGAGGTCCTGGGTTTGAAATTAATTGTGGAAACTATTTTTGACTTAAGATATATATTTTTTTTTTTTATAGGAGAGGGGGCAAACGAGCATGCGGCTCACCTGATGGTAAGTGACTACCGCCGCCCATGAACAACCGCAACACCAGGGGAATTGCAGATGCGTTGCCGGCCTTTTAAAAAGGAGTAGGCTCTTTTCTTGAAGGTCCCTAAGTCGTATCGGTCCGGAAAAATCCCTGGTGGTAAACTATTCCACAAGGAAGTTGTGCGAGGAAGAAAACATCTTCTAAATCGCACAGTGGTGGACCGCCAATCATCCAGATGGTGTGGATGGTATCGGGAGTTCTGCCGCGATGTGCGTTCGTGAAATTTGGCGGCTGGGATTAATCCGAACAATTCCTCAGAGCATTCCCCATGGTAGATGCGAAAGAAAATGCAAAGAGATGCAACATCTCTTCGCAGTGCCAATGAATCGAGCCGATCGGAAAGGGCTCGGTCGTCGACGATTCGAGCCGCTCTGCGCTGGATGCGGTCAAGTGGAAGGAGCTGGCACTGGGGAGCCCCTGCCCAGAGATGGGAACAGTATTCCATGTGAGGCCGAACCTGCGCCTTGTAAAGTTGCAGGCGGTGTGCCGGCATGAAATACTGTCCCGCTCTGCTGAGCACGCCAAGCTTTTTAGAGGCCAATTTGGCCTTCTCTTCCAAGTGACCACGAAACTGCACGTCACTCGATATGTCGACTCCGAGGATACCGATACTGGCTGAGGCAAGAAGGGGAGTGCCTTGAAACTGAGGAGATACGACAAAGGGGTTTGAATTGTTTCAAAGACACACACATTTTAATCAGTATGCTGTTCGTTTTCCAAATAAAGTTAAATAGTTTTCTATGGTCACTAACGACGGAGTTTCTCACGAGTTCGTTCTCTCCACAACTATCTTCCTGCTGCATATTAATTATCTGCTTTTACCTGGTATCTATGGGTATGCAGGCGACAGCACAATTGTGGAGAGATACGAACCGAGTGTTTGGGCTAGTGTGGATTAACCCAAACACTTCCTTGACATTTTAAGGGAGTTTTTTTTTTATAGAATAAGGGTGATAAACGAGCATACATTCCATCTGTTGGTAAGTGAATGCTGTGGCCCATAGACATCTACATCTATCTTTGATTAAGAATCAAAATGCAGATGCGTTGTCACCCTGAGAACTAAGATGGATTGCCTCATCTCCAGTAACAAGACTCTCCGGTTCTTTAAATTCACCATACGTAATATAGCAGCAATAAGCTTATATTTTACACTGGTATTCCGTAAGAGAGTGGTCCTTCCATGGTCAAGCCGACCAATTCGTGATACAACCATATATAACTACAGCGTGGCTCTACCACGTAGAGTGCTAAAAATCTTAAAATTATGCTAGCTCTATTACTCAAGAAACAGGAACTCTGTAATAATACACGTATTGCTATTTTTCGACTTAAAAATGAGGAAATAATTGCCATTTCCCTTGTTATTTCGAAAGATTTTAACAAAGTCAGGTAAATTAGCCTTTCAGACGAGCTTTCAGCAAACGAATTAACCCCTTGTCTGATCAGCTAGGTGAAGGAATTTTTGAGTAAACAGTCTTTCATAGGCGTCGTTGAAGGCTGCTCTTCCAAGCCTATTATAACTAAAGTTAAAAGGAGTTCCTCAGGGGTCTGCCCTCTCCACAACTCTCTTTCTCCTGCATATTAATGATCATTAATATGCAGGAGAAAGAGAGTTGTGGAGAGTTGCTTATAACCGACACCGGGGGCTAGCGTAGATCAAATCCAGTCCGAAAGAGAAGCTGTGGGTGAGCGTGTAAATTACTCACTACAGACAGTTTCCGAATGGTGCAACGGCAATCTTGTGAAGTTCAACGCGTTCGAAACACAAGCGTTTTTTGTTTTCAATGCAAAAGGAAACCAGCTCATATCAGCTCCTTCTTTCCGACTCGACTTCCCACGTATTCAAAACAAACGGTTTGTTCACCTTTCGTAAGAGATGTAAGTCAAGTACAAACTTCGAAAAGTAAAAAAAAGTAAAAATAAACCTGTATGGAAAATTTCTACGTTCCAGATCCAGCATTATGTAGGGTAGCGATAATTATCCAAACTTTGGCATCCTTTCTCATCCCTTTATGTGTTAATTAATCATTATGCATGCTTAACAATTTTTTTTCTTATTAAATGGTCTAATATTTTTTATAAACCCTTTTTATCCCTTAGGGCACAAAATACTCTAATGTACAAGGTACCCCTAAGTACTTTGATTGCGTTGGGAGTGTTTATTATTTAAGAGATCCCTGATATAGAGTTCTTTTGATTTTTAATCGTTTATTATAGTAGTTAAAATAAGTAAGAAATAGTATTTAATAAAATACATTTCATTACGGCAATGGCAAATTGTTTTTGCAAAAACATTGAAGGAAATCCATTGACCCAATTTCTAAATGTAAATGGTTAGTAAGACAAGTACGAGAACATAATATTTAGTCCATGGTCGAATGGCGCTCTAAATAATGCGCTACGTCCCAAGAATAACCATATTTGAAGTGAATTCAAATGAAGCGCTTCACCAAATCAATTTGTATTCATCGGGTGCAGTTTGTTGATGAGGTAGTGAAATGTTTTACGACCGGTAAAAAATATATCAAAACAATTGAATAATATTAGGCTTACTAGTATTGAGACTTAGGTGCTATAAAATGTGACACATTTTATATATATGCCTTCACGCAAGTGCAAGCAATAAGTTGACAAAGTTTTAGGTTTTAGCGCAATCTGATGATCGGTATGCAGCGCATAAAATACGAAAAAATAAAAATTATATATATTTATATATTACATTTATAAATCAATTTCAGTTGATTCGGGCTTAAACTCACGCATAGTTGAATTAACAAAATTGACGTAATAACTGATGAAATATATATATATATATCTCATATATCAAGAAATAATATGAGGTTGTTTTTATAAATCATTTGTTAATTCTTCAATAGAGCGACGATGGCGGTGTTTTCATACTCATAAAACGGTCGTTTGTCACTATTCTATAGATAATATTAAACGAAAAAGAGAGTTTTAAGCAAATATATCATGCTCTGTTTGGATTATACATTCATAGCTTATTTCAACTTGTATATTACAATGTTAAGAAGGTTGTCTCTTCTGAATGATCTTTTATTATGGTACTTCATATTAAGGAATACATGGGTCATGAGAAACCGTCCAAAATTTTTGTTTTGCGTATGTATTCATACGATTGTATTTTCACTCTCATACAGAATAAAATCACTACAACATGGTGCACCAGTATTCCTATTTTGTAGCGATATATAATAATAAACATTACCATTTATTTTCCCATCGCAATGTGTAATATAAGTTAGCGCAAATAAAAATATTTTTTAAAAAATGGAAGCGAAAAATATTTTTTTAATTAAAACTGTAATTTATTAGAAAATATATCAGGTATCCACATACAAATAAATAAGTTTTATTTAAGTGCAACAAAAGGAGCTGACGCGGCTACATAAGGAGTTGCAGCAACGTAAGGTGAAGCATATCGGGCGTATACTGGAGCAGTTGCAGAGATGAGAGGTGCTGCAGCTACGATTTTGGCTGCTGGAGCAACGTATGAGGCTGGTGCTGCCACGACTGGGGCAGGGGCGGCCACCAAAGGTGCAGAAACAATACCGTTGTAGTTCCTTGCAATGTATTGTGAGCTCGAGGCAGTGACGATTGGAGCAGGAGCTGCTACAAGGGGAGCTGGGGCGGCGACATACGCAGCAGGAGCAAAGCTGGGCTTTGCTGCAACCACAGCGATGGTAGCTAGAAAAAGTACCTAAAAAGTAATCTGAAATTAACTTTCTCGATCCCATCGTTTGAATAAAAATAATTGATAGTATAATAGAAGCAATAATAAATAATAATAATAATATTAATCTTTATTAAAACTTATACAGGTTACAAACAAATTGTTGCACTAATTCCTAAACTAGGATTAATCATGTAATATAATAATAGAATTATAATACATTGATGGTCTTAATTACATAATTACCTTAAACATTTTTCTTGATTTGTTGTCTTCGGTGATTGATGTAGGTCTTGTAGGTGATATGTAAATTTCGACTATAGTACCTTAGCTTTTATACAATGATATTTGGCAAGATTCACCTCGCTTTGCGTTTCAACATCAGTACTGCATGGAATCGTTTTACATTTTAAAACGTTTTAAATTGCAACAAGAAACTAATTAGAATTCTATAAAAAAGTCTTTGACAGTATTTAAGGTATAAATTACATTTCGAGGAGATTCGTATTAATAGTTTTTAATGTAATTATCTGCTTCTAACTATTTTAACTTTATAAAACGCTTCGAAAATGCTGACTTACATTATTAATATTTTTAATTAGAGTGATATTTCATTTATTAGTGTAATAACTTAAATAGATTGATATTTATCAAAAATTTGAAAATTAAGATGATTTTTAATTTAATTACTAATCTATAAATAACTGATTTAAACAAATTATAGTGCAATTATTGTCAGACTATTATCCTTAGAGGTTGATTAAAGTTAGATTTTTTACATAATATCTATAGCTTTACCCTACCTTTCTAATAATAGCACAATCTATCAAATAAATATATATATAATCAATCCAAATAAACTAATTATAAGTCTAAGTTATAAGTAATTGAATACTTATTCGTGCAGCATCAAACATTGTCAGACTTAAAATAACTTTTGCGGTCTCCATGGCGCAGTGGATTAGCAATGTTGCAGCGCTAAGGGCCGCGGGTTAGAATCCCGCACGGAACAAGTATTTGTATGGCCTACAAATCATTGTGCCGGGTCTGGCTATTGTCTTTGTAAATTTATGTATGCCCGAATGATACAGGAGAAAATCCTAGTGTAGAGGTAACGTTTAGAAAAACTATACCGGTAACCATTACAGGAGTGATTTTCCGCATTTTTATGAAAGAGGGGGCAAAAGGGGATACTGCTCATCTGATGATAAATGACCGTCGTCCATGAAGATCTGAAATACCAAGAAAGCTGCAGGTGCGTTGCCAACCTTTAAGAAAGGAGCAGACTCTTTTCTTGTATATCCCTAAGTCGTATCGGTCCAGAAAAACCGCTGACGACAGTGAATTTTACAGTGTGGTCGTACGTGGGAGAAAAATCAACGTGAAGGCCGGCAACCATCGAGATGATGAGGATGCAATTCGAGATCTGCCTGAAATGATACCTGCATGGCCTGTACTTTTAGCAAAAAACACAAACTAAACAGTATCCACTGTGTACACAAAATTTTGATTAACAGAGAAGCTGTTTAGTTGAATATATTAACTGTCTATCAGCACAGCAATAATTTCATCAACTTCTTTTTCTTTTTTTAAATCATTTGGTATCAAGTTATCTGATGTATGTAATGGAAAACTAAGTGCACTATGAGATTTATATCTGTACTTGATGGAATAGTTAGTGGCATCGTTGGATGACTAATTACTAGATGAAATACAGCCCACAACTCACAAAAGATAATTTTCAATTTTTATAATTTTCTTTTTAAAAAATCGAAAAACTCTGTAAGATTTCAGGGCACGGGAGGAGCTCTTTGCACAGTCGTAAGACGTATGTAGACTGCTACTTAAATTTATGACTTTTAATGACAGTATAATTTATATTTTCAAACATATAAAGAATTTTATGAGAGACCCGGTTTCGTAGCTTTCATATGTAAGTAAAAGGACTTGAGTACCATAAATAATGAAAAAAGCAAATTTTATTTAACACAGGTTTATTTTTATTTGGACCATGGCTATAACTAAATTGCTAGAATTTTGAAAGTGACTTGTCTAATTTGCTAATCAAACTGATAACAATCCAAACAAAACTTAATTAATATTAATTATATCGATAAAATATATATATATCTAAATTTGATCCTTGCCAAAACCATATAAATGTTAATAGTAATTTAATGTGTGACGTTTACGTCTGAAGTGACGTTTCGGGTGCTTTACAGCAACGATGATATGCGAAATAAAAAAAAAACATCCTAATTTTAATAGAAAAGATGGATAAGTACCGCCACCGGTTTGGGATCCTACAATTCATAAAATTAAATCTAAGCCCAAGCAAGACTTCAAGATACTAACTTAAACTTACTTACTTAAAACTTGTTCTGCGTAGATCGGACCAAAAATTAATATCCAAAAACTGAAGGTAGCCGGGCTAACTATGACATCGGAACGTCAAAGACCTCAGTCCCTCCAAGACCATGGGTGCTATAAAGCACTAGAAATGTCGGGAATTAAAAATAAATAAATTAAACACGATAAAATAGTAAAAAATAGTTTCATTACTTATTAATGTGTAGTGCTTGCGTAAATATAAGAAATCATTAGCTTTTAATTTTATTCATGTTTTCGGAGATATTTTTTTTCATTACACCGCAAATATTCACATTAGCGAAGATGAGTAGCAGTAACTACAGCCTAACATAAGTGCACTGCTGAACGTAGTCCTCCCTCATATATTGCTTCATAGGCTGGATATTTGCTGTATTTGCCACGCTTGGCAAGCGGGTTGGCCACCGACGTTTTTTATTATCTATAGCTGTCAGGAAGGTTCTGCTGATCATTGCCTATTTCAGTTTCCCTCTGGCACCAGCTGCTACTTTACGCTGGTGTTCTGTGAGACCTCCCCCGATTGAGTCGACTCATTCGTACAACAACCATAATATAGCTGCAGAAAAACTCATACATACACTGACATGACCCCCCATGAATGAATTTGGTAATTTGGCATGAAACAGTGACGATGTGACTAAATAGAAGGCCTCGCGAGCGAAGCCGCGGGTAAAAAGCTATTTTTATTATATAATAATATCATGTTCATAACAATAAAAATAATACAATCTGTAGAAAAATCGTGTCTGTAATTCTAATGTTTTCTAGAAAAAACAAGGCAAGTTGCAATCAGGGATTCCATCTTAGTCCTCACGTGTGACAACGCAACTGCATTTTGATTCGTATTCGAAGATAGATGTAGATGTCTATGGGCCACAGCAACCACTTACCATCAGCTGGACTGTGTGCTCGTTTGTCACCCTTATCCTATAAAAAAACCAAGAATGAATTAGAAACACAAGCATACAGCGCACTTGATCATAAGTGGATGCTGCACTAAGATAGCATACCTTGATATGAGTAAGAGCACACTCAGCATACGAAATTTCATTTTGGGAGAATTTTTGATCAGTTAGTCCACCGTCATTGTCCTTTGTTGGCGGACTTCATATTTCCTCGAAAATAATTTTTATCTGACTACTTCTCGTATACCTTAAAATTGCTACTTAAAATTTTTACTGTCTGTATCTAAATTTTACTAGGTGCTGATGGTGTAAGATACCTCACTGAGCCACTGAATGGGGAAATTGGACGGTATATATACCATAATATTATGAATTTCCGGAAAGTGTTGCCTGATTCTATTTATTGTTGTCTGGCAACCGCCGCCAAAGTAATTGGATATAAATGGCAAAGTAATTAATCTTTATGGTACTTTTTAATTCGTCAGTATTATACTTTCCATTATCATATCGATCATATCCATATCATCCCGTAGATGTTGCAAGAAACTACTATTTAAAATGATAAATGTATATATAATGTATACGGCGGTATAATCGTCCTGAATATGCCAGAAAATCATGTAAATACTGAAGTAGTTTAGGTAAATGATGTTGCAGAAGCAACGATCTTGGCTATCGTGGCACAGTTTAAGGCAGGTGTTTCACGACCAAGGGAAATATAGTAGTGAAAAATAACAAAGATGTATAGGCAAAAATTCATTTATTTATACATTTATACAGTTTTAAAAGACGTTTTGTATGTTTTTGTCTTACTTGAGAGCAACAATAGGAGCGGATGCGGCAAAGTAAGGAGCAGCTACGTATGGTGAAGCATATCGGGCGTATACAGGAGCAGATATAAGTGGCGCTGCTGGTGCTACTATTTTGGCTGCTGGAGCGACGTATGAAGCTGGCGCTGCCACGATTGGAGCCGCGGCGGCAGGTACTAAGGGTGCAGCAACATAGCCGTTATAGTTCCTAGCGATGTACTGTGAGCTGGAGGCAGTGACGATTGGGGCAGGAGCAGCCAAAACAGGAGCTGGGGCAGCGACATACGCAGCAGGAGCAATTCCAGGCTTGGCAGAAGCCACAGCGATAGTTGCGAGGAATAGTACCTTGATAAAAAAATATTGTTAAGTATCCATAATAATATTCCATGTGATTGTAACAAAAGTATGTGTATTGATACAAACCTTGAACATTTTGATTTCTTATTTGATTATCTTTGTTGGACAAGTAAAAGCGATTGATAAAGTTTCGAGACAATATTCAGCTTTTATACAGTGTTCGGTGGTGAGATTCACCTTGTGTGTAATTACGCCATCAGTATTGCATGGAATCGTCAGACGTTACGCACGAAGTAAAACAAATAACAATTCGAAAAAATGCATCGAATAAGACGATACATAGCATATAAATGAGAGTATTTCGAATGCATTAAGTATTTAGATAATGTTGCTTCAGTGAGCAAATTTTAACTTTAGTAAAACGTTTAGTGATTGTAGCAACATGCATCCTAATTTCAATAAAGAAGATGGCTGGATGCTATCATTTGCTTGGATGCAATAATTAATGAAATTAAAACCTTATCCAAGCATAAAATTACAAGACTTCAAGATATTATAAGCTCGCTGACGGTGTATGTACGTGATGAAATCCGTAAAACTTCGTTTCATTTAAAATATTGTTTTTTTTTGAAAATTGGCTTTCACAAAGCGCTTTTTGAAATTCAAAAGCTACGCAAACCTTCAACAAGTCCCTACTGCGGGAATAGTTTATTTTTCTGCCGACTTCCAAAAAGGAGCCGGTACTCAATTCGACTGTATGTTTTTTTTTTCGTTTTTTTTTTTTTATGTGTGTTACCTCAGAACTTTTTTCTGGGTGAACCGATTTCGATGATTCTTTTTTTATTTGAAAGCTGGTACTTCTCGTGTGGTTCCATATGAATTTGATCAAGGTCAGACCAATAGTTTTTAAGTTATTCTTAAATAACTTATATTGAAGTCGGCTGTACAAAATTTTTAATTTTAAATTATTAGTTTACTTTTTATTTCCTTTTTGTTTAACCCCTAGGATTTTCTCCTGTATCGTGGAGGCAGTTTAAAAACATAAATTACACAAGGAAAAACGTCCAGACCCGGAACACATATTATTTGTAGGTGTAGGATTCCAATCTGCGACCCCCAGCGCTGCTAAGCCACTGCGCCACGGAGCCGTCAAATACCTTGCAAGTAGACTATTTATCTCCCCATAGTTACAACTTTACCTATGACGTAAAATTATAAATATAAACACAAGCATAAAAGTCTAAGGGAGCTCATTATGTCCACGCATCTTTTCGAAAGTCATCTTATTTATAATATGACGTGGTAGAGCTACGCTGCAGCTATATTATGGTTGTAGCACCAATGGGTTGGCTCGGACGGGGAAGGACCACACTCTCACAGAATACCAGCGTAAAATAGCAACTTAATACTGCTGTGTTTCGTATGGTGTGTGTAGAGAACCGGAGACCAGTTTTACTAAAAAGGAGGCATTCCATCTTAGTCCTCAGAGGTGAGAACGCAGCTGCATTTTGATTGTTAATTGAGAATAAATGTAGAGGTCTATGGGCCACAGCATGGACTTACCATCAGTTGGACTGTGTGCTCATTTGTTACACTTATTCTATAAAAAAAAAACTACTAACTTACTATTGTCGCTTATTTTTTAGTTTTTTTTTAGAGGAGAGTGGGTAAACGAGCACGCGGCTCACCTGATGGTAAGTGACTACCGCCGCCCATGAACAATTGTAACACCAGGGGAACCAGGGGAATTGCAGATGCGTTGCCAGCCTTTTTAAAAAGGAGTAGGCTCTTTTCTTGAAGGTCCCTAAGTCGTATCGGTCAGGAAAATACGCTGATGGTAATCGATTCCACAAGGATGTTGTGCGAGGAAGAAAACATCTTCTAAATCGCACAGTGGTGGATCACCAATCATCCAGATGGTGTGAATGGTATTGGGAGTTCTGCCACAATTTGCGTTCGAAAAATTTGGCGGCTGGGATTAATTCGAACAATTCCTCAGAGCACTCCCCGTGGTAAATGCGAAAAAAAAATGCAAAGAGATGCAACATCTCTTCGCAGCGCCAATGAATCGAGCCGATCGGAAATGACTCGGTCGTCGACGATTCGAGCCTCTCTACGCTGGATGCGGTCAAGTGGAAGAAGCTGGCACTGGGGTGCCCCAGCCCAGAGATGGGAACAGTATTACATGTGAGACCGTACCTGCGCCTTGTAAAGTTGCAGGCGTTGTGCCGGCATGAAATACTGTCCCGCTCCGCTGAGCACGCCAAGCTTTTTAGAGGCCAATTTGGCCTTCTCTTCCAAGTGACCACGTCACTGCATGTCACTCGATATGTCGACGCCGAAGATTCCGCTACTGGCTGAGGCAACAAGGGGAGTGCCTTGAAACTGAGGAGATACGACAAAGGGGTTCTTTTTAGCGGTAAACGAGCAAACTTGTGCCTTCTGAGGATTAAACTGGACTAGATTTAGTCGCCCCCAATCCGAGACGTTGTTCAGCAAAGACTCGACTTCAAACACAAGTTTGTAGTACTCGGCGACGTTTTCCTGAGAAATATTGTCACGGACGGTGTATAGAGCATCACCAGTGCTGTCATAGTTAGTAGTTATTGTAGGCCTCATTCAAAGTATTCATACAATTATAAAGTCCCATACTGTTTCATTCGTGGTACTCTTGGTTTACGCGGGCGACCCTCAGAATAGTTTAGGACAGTGGTGGGTTACGCGAAGGTTATATATATATTTTAGGGTTGCACTGCTGGGAATATAAACAATGACCATCTTTGTACGGAGTTGGCAAGTGAATGATTTGATGTAAAATGTATTATTTAAAAAAATCGAAAAGTTTTTTAATCGTATTTGAACACCACTCCCTATAACTTTGATTTAAAAATAAGTTCTTCAGTTACCATTGTCCTATTTGAGCCATTTTAGTCGTTATAGCGGTCAAACCGCGAACTCAACACGCTCATTATCAAGAAAGGGCCTTCTAAGTTATCGTATTGAATAGAATAGAATAGAATGATTTTTATTCAATATCTATTATTACATAATACTTATTGAAAGTCATTTTTTAATTTACAACTTATTCGGAAAATACCTTTGTCCTGGGAAGAACCAGCAAGAAAACCCAGCGGGACTTTTTTTAAACATAATTTCACTTAACAATAATTTTGTTTATACAATTTTAAATGAATTTTCACAGAACCAGCATGGTGGCGATCACCTTATTCCCAGGGGTTATTTTCATTCATGTATTCCTTGATATTATAATTACCCTTTTTGTACAGTTTTTCTGTAATAAAACTTTCAAACTTGTTTATTGACAAACTTTAAACATGTTCTGGGATTTTGTTGTAAAAGCGTATACATTGCCCAATAAATGAATTACTAATTCTGTGGATTCTAGTAACTAGTATTACAAGCTTATGTTTGTTCCTAGTGTTTAAGGTATGAACATCCTTATTCTTATTAAAGCTATTTATGTTTTTATGTACATTACATTACATTTTCATAAATATATTGCGATGCTAAAGTTAATATGTTTATTTCTTTAAATTTTTCTCTGAGGGACTCTTTACAATTTTGATTATAAATTGCCCAAAATAGATTATAAAAAATATTGTGACGGGCAACTACGGAAGCATTCTTCGACATTGTGCGTGGCCACCGCACTTGGCACCTCTTTTATTATATTGTGTGCTATTATTTTGTGATATTTACACTTATAATATTCGACTATTTTTAATAATGTGACTAAAGTGACCTATAATTATATCACAAAAGTAGCTTATTATCCCGCGGCTTCGCTCGCGTGGTCTTCAATTTAGAGACATCATTAAATGCTATTCCGCGCAAAATTCGATCACTTTTAGAGTTACTTCGGTGTCTGTCTCTTGTCAGTTTGTCAAATAATTTTTTTGAATTCCAATAGTGCAATAGACCTAGATAATTGATATTTGGTATATATACGAGTATAATATGCTACAGGAACACGTGAATAAATAAGTTTTTCAGAATTGCATTAATATCATATATCTAGAAACATCTAAATTTTTTTATATTGAACGTGTCTTACGATATATCCATAAATATGATAAATTGTCTTAGAATCAAAATTTATTGTTATTTTTTACACTTTACATTCATTCATAATTAAAGTTAATTTGGTTTTAACAAAGTAATGATGATTTCATGGTCTTATATGTGATGTTTGGTTCGTATCATTGTTCCCATTTAATATTGATTGGCACCATAACATAGATTCTGATATTTTTTCTACGTTCGAGTAGACTTCAAAATGTCATAAATGCAGTTTTATATTGGCGGCGAAAGAGAATCCGCCACCACATATCGTTCCGTGTGTGTCCTAAGAGGCGATAGAGGATGATAGAGGAAAATAAACAGGAGATGGGCAACATCATCTTCCTGACAACAGTTCAAAATAATAAAGGCTGCGGTTGCCAACCCACCTGCCAAGCGTGGCAACTATAGCAAATATCCAGCCTATTTGACAATTTACGTGGGAGGTCTATGTTCAGTTCAGTGGACTTTTGAAAGGTTGTAATGATAACGATGGTGAGTTCTATTCATTCGAATCTTTGCTACCGTTAATATTTACGGCAGTGTGAATACAAAAAAGTTAAATTTCCGAAAAATAAATGAAATAAAAATAGCATAAATGACCCATTAAAACTAAAAAAGTAGCAGCCTACATACATGTCACTACTGGGCACAGGCCACAGAGCTTTTAGCCAAAAATGTGCCAACCCGCGATCACCTCAACTGGGTAACTTCTTAGATATGCAGGTTTTCTTTCGCCGCCGAGAACGTGGTAAATCGACACTTCAAATTGCAATTAAAATATATGTAAAAATATATAATAATGCTTATGCACTATGAAATTTACATTTGAATCTTTTTGATCACCGCTTTAGACAATTAAAATAAGAGAAACCTTTGTTTAAGTAAAGTCTGTTATCTTTGATACTTAAGTTCTTTTTTTCACATCAGCCTGTTCATTTACATATCTCATGTGAGGCATGAAATCAGGACTGTCACAAATATCTTGATTTGTCTGATAATATAAAATCTAAAATGACAAACTTAAAGTCTCATTAAAGGTATAAAAACTAAAGTAGCAGTTTAAAAAAAACACGTCTCACTACTGTGCTCAGGGCTCCTAATTACCTATAGTGTTTTGTGGGCAGAAAGGAGTATGCCGCAATCCTTCAATGCGTATTAATGGTTTTCATATTTCCACAACTTTTTTAACTACTCATACATTTAGATTTGCCCACGAAGTTATACTTCACCACTTCACAGGATATGTGGTAAGTCAGTACGTAAAATTTCCCATAACAGATTCATTTGTCCTCAAAGGACTCGTACACGTTTTGCTCCCTTGCCGTGATGAAATCTCTAGACGAGAACACAGTTCTCGCATTTGTTCAAATAAAATTGATAATAACTGAAACAGTGCTTTTGTACGATTGTTGACCATATCTACTTAGTAATTAGAAAGCCAACGATGCCCCGAACTATTCCATCAAATAGAGATAAAATCTCACAGTGCACTTAATTTTCAATTATTTACATCAAATAACGTGATAAGATATGAGGTTGGTAAAATGAAACCTATGCCGACAGACTCCCAATAAATTCAAATAAAAAGTTTCTCTCTTAATCTCAGTTTTGTGCACACATTACTAGATAATGTGCATACAAAACACACGTGTTGTGTATAACAGTGTTAGCCATTTTGCCAAACGTGGTAATTGTGGTAAATCATCCCGACAATGGCCACCGGTCTAGATATTTTTAAGTGTGACAATTTTTGATGCTGCACGAATAAATATTCAGTAGCATTTTTAAAGCGAATTTTCTGAATATGTTTTAAAGAAAATAGGTAAAGTGCATGCTATAATTGTATAATTAGAAGTCCATGCCAGTAACCCTTGCTAGAACAAGCTGTCAATCCCAATAACTTAGGTTCTTTTTATGTATTCGTATCTCACACGATGATCTCCAAAAAGTAATCCCGACTTCCATTTTACTTTATTTAAGTAATGTCTTGACTTGCGTCAATAGCGTATTGTATCATAGTCTCCAAGTTGTAACAATTGATCACGCTAGAATTTTTCAATTCCAATATTTTAACTTTGATGTGTACTAAAACACAATATTCAATAAATAGATCATTATATTATATAATGTGAAATTCACTATATAATATTCAACATATATATTTATTTTAAACTTCATTAAGCGTGTAGCGGCGTAGTAACCGGGTAGGCAAAAAACTACGTAATTGTAAGTTTAATTTCGTTAAGTGGAATATCTGGTCCTTGCCTGTAAAATAAATATTAATAATGGTCTAGATAGATAGCATACCGTGTGTACCACATAGACGGTGTAAGAATATCCATTACCCCATATCATCCCGTGGGTGTCGTAAGAGGCGACAGAGGGAAACAAATCAGGAGATGGGCACCAGCGTATTGCTAATAACATAGATAAATATATATGTAGCAAGCTAGCTAATAACGACTAAAAATAAAAAATAAAAACTGCGGTTACCAACTCGCTTGCCATGAGTTGCAACTATGGCAAATATCCCCCTATGCGACAATCTATGCCTATTTGCCTGTAACGTTAACGGTAACGGTCCAGATAGCCAATATTTTAAACTTCAAAATTTTGCATTGTAATTTACATATTATTTAAATTATAGACATAAAGAAGCTTAATGAGCTATATTGCTTTAAAAAAAATGCAATCTTTCCTTTGTTTTCCCCATTTTTTTTAATTTAAATTGTTTACTATGAGAATGGAGTAAAGAATTAAACGAAGAAAGCTGCACCAGTGACAATTGTTGTTAATATTTTAGCCATGCAGCTGTCTCCTTTGTATGTCTATGTGTGTATCTTTTTTCGCTGCCGTACTTATAGATAGTGGTGTGACTACGAGAATATGGGAAATGCCTAAATGGATAATGTTAACTTGCGGTGGATAGCGATGTAATCATTTCTATTACGCCCGGCGTTAAGTACCCAGATCGGTGATAGCAGCAGCGTCAAAGGTGCGATACGTCTGATACGTAGGATACTATTAATATTTATTTTACATCTTTTCAAAATATTCTCCATCATGCTTATACAAAGTTCCATTCGCCTAAATCAACTCTGAAAACACTTTTGCCAGTATTGACCTGACAGTTCGGAAATCGCTTTGTCGTAGGCAGCCACGGCTTCTTTGGCGCTTGAAAAAAACTTGCTTTTTATTTTTTGTTTGACTCTTGGGAACAAAAAGAAATCACAAGGAGCTAATTCAGGACTGTAGGGTGGGTAACTTAGAGTTTAAACACCAGGTTCCTCAATAAATGCTTTTGTTCTAAGGGAGGTATGTGAAGAGGCGTTGTCGTGATGCAGCATGATTCCTCGAAGCCCGGTCTTTGGTCTTCTCTCCCGCACAGCTTGAAAAGCTTTGGGTAATGCAACTGTAGTATACCATTAAGAGTTGACTGACCTACAATTTTCCAGCATTGACGTCAACAAATGTCCGCTCCGCGAAAAAAAAACTAGCCATCATTTTTTTGCCGACCATGCGAGGTCTTTGCAGTTTTGTCTGTAACCGTCCTTCTGAGTAGACCCATACCGATGATTGACATTTGTTTTCCGGATTATATTGATAGATTAATGACGAAATATGCCGAGATGCCCCGTTTTCGGATAGTATGAATGCTCCCCGAACTAATGCCTACAATCTTTTCGATGTCCGTATATGTGATTCGTCTCCTCGCACCAATATTTTCTGCCAGTCCATACATTTTCTGCCGTTACTGCTGTTTGCGGGTCCCCGGTTCTTTGGTCAGCTTTAAGATTAATTTTACCCGTTTTGAATTCAGCAAACCACCTAAAACTGTTGCGCATGATGGAACTGAGTCCCCTAATGCTAATGTAACAGTTGCAAACTTAATTGTTCGGTTAAACCAAATTTAAAATCATAATATATCATAGTGCACAAATGTTCACGGTTAAGATCCATCGTTTTAAATGAAAAGCGCGGAAAGCATGACCGGAATATAAATATAACTTTGCTTTTTTTTAACTGTGCAATTGTCTTATGGAGTTCCATTTTTAAATAAATTTGCTTTTTAGAAACATATAACACGGGTGCGTTCCATTTTGAAATTTCAGTCTTCTCAAAACTTATTGAGTGAGTGTATTACGATCGTTAATCCTTCTGCCAAGCGTGACAATCAAGGTGAATCTTCGTTGCAGGGTAAGGCCCATTTTAGCAGTCGAATTTAACGGACTAGTGGTGATGATGATGATGCATAAGAATCATTTAAAGAAACTAGCTGATAGAATCGCAATTAATCATTTTATTAATTTTAATGATGCAACATTCGGAACGAGTGATCTAGCACCCCGTTACCATGCCTTGTTTTCTTGTTAATTAAACATTTATTGGACGAAATTATGTACGTGCGAAGGAAATCATTAATTGTGAAAAAGCATTTTCTGCTGGATTATTTTGACAGTAATACGTGAAATGGTAAGGGCTGGGTAACATTTTAGTAATCATTATTATTAAACATTAATTATTTTTACAATATATTTTTACTTATAGATATAATTAATATTTGGGCTTCACTGTGTTGGGGCTAAAACTGTAGTCTCGCTTAGATATTTATAAAAATAAATAAATACATATAAAATAATAATTATTAAAATAAGATGGCATTTTCGTTTTTCGAAAATATTATTTATTTGTCTACATCACTGTTACTCATTTCAGCATATTCTCCATTAGATAAAAATTCTTTACACGCGCTTCTTCCAATACCAGAAAGACCTTTGGAACTTCTAATTATGTGACTTTAGTTTTGGGAACAAAATCACACGAAGCCATGTCAGGTGAATGTGATAGTTGGGACATCATAAAAAAAAATATAAGTACTGCTAAAGAGATAGTTGATTCTCTAAATATTTAAAAGAATTGAATAAAAACTCCAAGAAAATTTGTAGACAAACTAATTTATGTAACTATCTATGTATATGTAACATATACTACATACGTATATAATGTTATATATTATGTAATAACACAATTCACATTGAAAGTATAAGAAATATTGTATTAAATTGGTTTATCGCTAAAACAACTAACGTAAATAGACCTAAAATTATTATATGGCTTGCGTGCGTAACAAGTCGCGAATGCTTTGTTTCGAAATTTTTTATTTTTGTCAAGGACAGTTTCCTTGAAGGACCTTCAAGAAAGACAGTTGAAGGATTTCTTAAAAATTCCGTTATAAGTACGTTATAACAAGATTTCGTCGATACATAATACCATCTATGTATATACCTGAGAGTCTTTGGTTACATTGTGACTTTTTTTGTGAATGCAATTTGGTGGATGTTAATTATTGGGTTACGAAGTTAACTGCTATCTTTAACAGATGTATTTATACATTCCTAAAATTTAACAGAAAAATGTGAAAGGATATGTGTGATTTAAAAAAATAAACGTTCATAGATTAAAAATTCATTTATTCGTTGGGATTTTGGAAGATGTCTAAGTTACAGTCTTACTTGAAGGCATAAAGAGGAGCGGAGGGAGCAAAGTAAGAAGCCGACACATATGGTGAAGCGTACCGGGCGTACACGGGAGCGGCAGCTGAGTAAAGTGGCGCTGCAGGAGCTACGATTTTGGCTGCTGGAGCGACGTATGTGGCTGGTGCTGCCACGATTGGAGCAGCGGCAGCCACTAAAGGTGCAGAAACCACGCCGTTATAGTTTCTTGCGATGTACTGTGAGCTCGAGGCAGTGACGATTGGAGCAGGAGCGGCTACAAGAGGAGCTGGAGCGGCGAAGTACGCAGCAGGAGCAATACTAGGCTTGGCAGCAGCAACGGCGATAGTAGCGAGGAAAAGTACCTAAAAATAAAAATATATTAATATGTTTACGAATAAAAATATAATAAAATATTTTTTTTATTTATCTTGTACAAACCTTAAACATTTTGTAGGTTTTGTTTGGTCAACTGCGTAAAACAGATGATGAGAGTGATACATTATGTTTGGGGACAATACCTTTTATACATAAGTCGGTGGCAAGATTCACCTTGGTATCGTGTTTCGCCACTAGTATTGCACGGACTCGTTAGACGCCGGGCACGCAATGGGGACGCGTACCATTGCGATTACGAAAATGAAGCTGGACAGACTGATAAGGTTTTATCAGCATATTTGGTAAGGGACAACATACATTACTTAGATATTTGGCGCGTGAAACCGTGCTGTGCGTACAAATTTTTAGGAATTGTATCACTTTTATTTAATTATTTTTATATATTTCCGACGTTTCGAGTACTTTGCAGGTGTTTTTTTTTTAAGTATTTATATATGTAAATAAAATTGAAAATGTTCCTTTGCTTTTCACCGATATGTTTGAAATTTTAACACAACGTTGCATTCGAATAGCGCGTATTCGAATGCAACGTTGTATTTCAAATACTTTTTAAAAAACTTATTGAGCTACAGCAACGCGTTTCCGACAGCTAGAAAAATAAAATATGTTCTGCAGCAATAAAATGCTTGATTCAAAAATTAGAATTAATTGTCTAAGTTTCTTCCGCCTCTAGTGTAATGCTAGCAATAGCTAAATTTAGGAATTAAACATATTTTTTTTTACAAAAGTAAGGATAATAGATAAGCACATAACTATCCCAATAGTAAGTGAATATTGAAAATTATTACTATGCTGCTATTTTCACGAAGTAGTCACGCTGTAGTATATTAAAGTTGCAGCTCGATTGGTATTGCTCGACCGGGAAGGTTTATGATCATTCAGTACACCAGCGTATCTGCTTTTTGACAGCGTATTTTATTTTTGAGTCGATTCTAAAGATAGTTGTAGTTATCTTAAGGTGTATATCATCTTTTTATCACTAACCAGGCTGTGACCTCGTTTTTCACCCTTACGTTTCTAAAAATACATATAGCTAAGTAGTATACTATGAGCGCGTGGTACGCCTCAACTTCAAAGAGACTCATTCGTGTTACAGATATAAAATAATACTGTAGCGTGGGTTTATCATGTAGTATATAGTAGAAAACTATATTCCATACCTACAAACTCGTAGATAACTAAGAACTAAGAAGAGAAAGTCATATGAAAAGACTCGCTTACAATTTGACGAACTGAAATCTCGCATAATCAATGCAAAAAATAAAATAAGGATTTGTTTGGTTATTTATGTAATGACCGATTTGTTTGAATACAAAACATTAAAAAGATATCCGCTTACAATACGCGGTAATAATTCCATTTCATTCTTGCATCCAAAGGAACTGTACAGTAAGTAGATGATGAGACAGGGTGACGCCTCATAAGGCGAAGCGTTATTACTTATTAGGTAGTGATTTAATCTCAAAACGCCTCTATCATAACCATATTGTACTTATACGATAATATTAGTAGCCGTCTATCAAGAAAACACTCTAATTAATCCATCTTATATTTAAAAAAAAAACCATTTTATATTGCTACTTTGAAAAAAGAAACGGTTCGAAAAAAATTTTACGGAGACGTCAGGACATTAATTTTATATGTAGTCACGATATCTCCCGAAAAAATTGACGTATCGAGACCGGTTTTTTTTCTTTGCTTCAGAATTACATCAACTGGTTCAATATTTCATGTCAATAGCCTAGTACGCGTAGTTTGTCAATAAAATTATTTTCAACTTCTGTAACTTTTATTGCTATTAAAAATTTTAAGCCGCTTTCATATTTTTTCAGCCCTTGATAGACAAAGGACAAATGTACCATACAGAATATATCGATTTTATACTTTGTGTAATCGATTTATTTTGGTAAAGATTATTATTATTTTTTTACGTGTAGGTGACACTAACTTTTAATAGAGCGCTAAATTTAAAACACGTAAATAATATATTTTAAAAGTCAGGAATACAATTTATTTTTTCATCAAAATTAAATGAAGCGCTCATGAAACGTGCACTTTTGGATTTCCTAAACTATTTGTTTATATCATTAATTTAATTTGTAAATTAATTATTTTATGTATTTCAGCGGTTGTTCTCTTCCGAGTTGTGTGTGTGTTGGTTCCCCATATACTCGTAAACCATTCATGACAAAGGGGATTTTTAATCATATTTTGGTATATCATATAGACCATAGATATAAAATATAAAACCAATAAAAATTAACATAAAAATAAATAAAGGGTCATTTAACGTTATCGCAATACGATTTTTTAATTTAAGGCATAAAAGTTTACTAAAGTTTTGTATCAGCACATAGACTTTCATTTAATGATTTTTTTTATATATAAACGCAAACAATACAAATCATTATACAAAAATAGTTCTACAGATTTATCGGGTTTACTTTAATATTTTTTACTTATTTATAGCTCAGTGCTTGACTAAAATTCCGCTTGATCGTAGTGGTGATATAAACCTATGTGGTAAACCATATTGTCTTAGCATAGCGTATAAATAAAAGGCTATTGACTTTTACTTTGAAGACAAACAATTTGTAATCGGAGAGACAAGACAGATTTTAGAAACTACTCCATCGCCTTACTATCAAGGAGGCAAACTATTTCGTTCGAATGCGTAGATTTTAGAAGGGAAAGGGAGGAATTAAGTGATGAAATTCCAAAAATCTTATAAAATATCTTATCATCATTATCATTTCAGCCCTTCACAAGTCCCGAGCCACCTTCATCCATTGACATCCTGCATGTCTTACCAGGTCATCGTTCAATCTAGTGGGGGGACGCCCTACACTAGAACCTTTCTTCCCTATCGGTTGGCGATTTTTCGATCTATATGACCGCCCCATTGCCACTTCAGCACACTAATTCTTATAACCAAATATCTTATAAACAAATCAAATTATTTTTAATTTCTAACGTATCACGTGCTTTACCATGGTCACGAGAGGATTGAGATGTATGTATAGTAATGTTATAACTGTTATCGCTACAGCCTAACAAAATTCCATTGCTGAAAATAGGTCTCCTCCACATATTGCATCGTAGGGGAATATTTGCTATAGTTGCCCGATTGTCAGGCGAGTGGGCAACCGCGGTTTTGTGTTTATGTAGTTGTTATTAAATAAGTAAAATTGCGTATAAGAAAATATTTATACAAACCAATTTTTAAATGATTAATATCATCATCATCTATGATATAGTAATCTACCGTGAAAAAATATTTGTTTCAGAGAACGTTAGAAATCTGTGATATCAAACACCTGGACGCCGAGCATGTCAAGTAAGTTTTAGACGACAACAAGCTTTAGGCCAAGTTGTTACGTCAGTGAATAATGGAACCAGCCATAGACGAGAGTGTGGCTACCATATTTATATGTCAGAAGAAGATAAGTCGGTTTTGATCACCCGTCAAGTTAACAATATCCTTCTGTAAAGCGTAGTATGTCGCAAAAATTATAAATTGACTTCGAATATATTTAAAATACAAACATTCATTCTGTTCAGTAAACGCAGATAAAAACTTGCATTCACTGATTCTACAAGAATAGAATGGACATAAACTTTTATGCCGTTTAGCAGTTTAATTTGCATTTTTCATTGTAATTTTGAAACCTTGAAAATATTTTTTTTAATTTAATATGTTCATATGGTAGCCTAGAGACATCCGCGTCATCTTCGAATAAAATAATGATCAATGCGCCACACTAATGCGGTCCTGCGTTTGAATTTATAGCCGGGGATAGATTAATGGCTTTCGGATTTACTAGGAAATGTAGGGAAAAGTAACAGGGGATGGGCAGTAGCATCCTACGTAATAACAACTGAGAATATTAAAAAGTTGCGGTTGCCAACTCGCCTATGTTCAGCTATAGGCTTATGATAGGCTGTAATGAACTAATAAAAGGGGTCTACTAGATGTTGGGATTGTTTCTATGTCCCTGAAATTGTACTCTAGATTTCCTACGATGATATTAAGCAAGCCTTACGTTTTATCATTTACTAGCTGTGCCCCGCGATTTCACTCGCGTATATCAGGCGTCTCAGCGGCGCGACATGACATTACACCTACTTTAAGCATTTTAGATAGATTGCTATGGCAAAATTGGCAAAATTTCGGCAAAAGCAGTTCGGGAGCGCTTTCAACAACAAAACAACAAAAATCAACATTTAAGGCTATCTGAGAGGTGTAGTCTAATGCTAGATAGCCTAAACTATTCCCCATCTGACCATAATATACCAAAATAATTTTTCAAATCGAACTGCTAGTTACCAGAGATTAGCAGGTTTGCACAAACAAAAAACTTTTCCGCTTTATTATATTAAGTATAGATTATTAACTAATGATGGTGTTAATTTTAAAATAAGGCAGTGTTTATCATATATTAAGTACCTACGAGTGCTTATAATTAATATTTCTATAACCACTGTAACGCAGTTAATATTGGCTTAATTTACAAATATATTTGTAGTTTCTAAACGAGTTATTATATCAATGAAACAAACGCAATTACAAAAGTATAAATATTTATTTATTATTTTTAACACTTCCATAACTTTTATTTACAGTGTGTGAGAAATTTTAACAAGTGTTTAAGGCTTATGTTAAATAATTTTTTATTATAGTCATGGTGATCTAATATTAGGACTTATTACAGGTCTAAAGGTAGTAGGTTCAACATCCCTTGATTTTGAACGACTGGATACAGCTTGAGGGTAACCTGCTGCCACTTTCTTTGCAAATGTAGGTTTTCTGTATAATATAATATACGCAGGATTTCTTATTGATCGCATTCTATGTGAAACAGGTCTTATTATAATTTTACCAGTAGGTATAAATGTATGAATATGCTTTGTTACTTTAATCAATTTCACGGGGTGATGTTTCTTTAGCGGGGGTGGTGCAATATACGTTAATGGCACTGGCACTACTTCGACTGCTGTTTTAACTTTCTGGGGCCTCGCTTGTGGTGGTCTGGCTGTCTGTGGTCTCCTCA